AAAACAATAAAATAAAAAAATAAAAAATAGACAAGTTAAAAACAACACAGATACATTCGTTTCAGTCGGGGCTGGACCTCAATAATGAGGTCAACAGCCCCAGGCCTGCCAGAATAGCCAGGTCTTGACTAGAACTCATGGTTGCCCACTTTCTAAAATCAACATGCCTAAAAACAAAGGAACATGTAGGGAATACAATTTGATGGCAGCTCTGAGCCCAAACTCAATGTTTTATAGGGCCACATATGGCCTCAGGTTGTAGATTGCCGACCCCTGATCTACAGTATGTCTGGCTTGGAAACTTTAGACTAAAGACTGTGTGTGTGTGTGTGTGTGTGTGTGTGTGTAGGGTGGGGAGAAGTCCATGTTTGAGCATTTATGATTTTATAATTTGAACTCGAATAGACGGGCTAAATATTCTCTGTTTCAGAATTAAACATTTATCCCTATTGCTACTTGTGTATATCTGGGAAAGATTGAGGGCCAATGACAGAGATTGAGATGACTGGATGGAGTCACTGAAGCAGTAGGTGTGAGCTTAAATGGACTCCAGAGGATGGGAGAGGACAGGAAGGTCTGGAGGAATGTTGTCCATGGAGTCAGGATGAGTCGTATATGACTTCGCAACTAACAACAACAACAACAACATACATATATAAATCATATCAGGCCGGGTTTATTTTTTTTTACATTTATTAAGCCTTGAAATGTTAAATTAAATTTACAATATATAGCTTGCACATGTTTATAAATTATATTTTATCATAGATAATTCTTCAAAATGATTGCCAAGGTATTTTTTGTTTTTTTGTTTTTCCAAGTGTCTGCAAGATTAGAAGTCCAGGAACTGATGTCGTAATACCAATGCTGAAGTAAAGATAAAGTGTCCGAGTTCTCCTTGACTCTTGGTGTTTTGATGGACACATCCATGGGAGGCAAGGGATGGGGATTGGCAACACGAGAGAAATTGATTTATCATTGCTTTCTTCAGAGACTTGTTTTTCCCCTATTTTTCATTCCAGCCTACAGTTAGATTTCCTGGTATTTTCCCATACATTTGACCCTACATAGCTTTTTTGAGTCATTGAAGGTTGGTGAGTTGAGCAAGCCTAACAGGTGGTCACATATTCTGCAATTCTCCTGCAAAGCTCTATATTTACCATTGTGGATGGATGTTTCTTTGTCTCAAATTTTACAATTTCTTATGGACTTCCCATCAATTTTTTAATCTCAGGTTTCAGCTGAGCACCAGAACCAAGAAGCTTACTAGTTATTTATCCATTTTAGAATAATTAGGATGCAGCTTGGCTGCATGCTCTAGTACCAATTTTTAAATGGATCCCCCCCCCAAAAAAACACTCCAAACAACTAATTATGAATAAAAATCATAATAAAATATTAATTTGCCTTAACATAAGGGATTTCCTTATAAAGACATTGTACCGCATGGTAAAATAAAAAGAAAACCTCAAACCCCCTACGTCTATTAAATGGAAGAGCAAAAGCAGTGAAAGAAAAGATAAACCTCCTTTGCCTACCATTTAATAGCTATTTGCATTCAGATTAGACAAAATCCAGTTTTGGATCTGGTCAGATTCTCTCTGGAGAGCAGCAGTCTTTGACATGGGGAAATTTACATCTGGCACAGGATACTCCTTTCAGTCTTTTAGCCTTCAGAACTCAACCGGTAACAGCTTGAATTGGTGATTGAATTGGTAATGATTCTAAGACAGTTCAAATATGATGATAAGGATGCTGCTGCTGCTATCCATTCAACTATGTCCGCTTCTTGGTGATTCTATGGGCCAGATCTCAATACAATACAATAGCAGAGTTGGAAGGGACCTTGGAGATCTTCCAGTCCAACCCCTGCCTAGGCAGGAAACCCTATACCCTTTCAGACAAATGGCTATCCAACATCCTCTTAAAGACTTCCAGGGTTGGGGCATTCACAACTTCTGGAGGCAAGCTGTTCCACTGATTAATTGCTCTAACTGTCAGGAAACTTCTCTTCAGTTCTAAGTTGCTTTTCCCCTTGAACAGTTTCCATTCATTGCTTCTTGTTCTGCCTTCAGGTGCCTTGGAGAATAGTTTGTCTCCCTCTTCTTTGTGGCAACCCCTGAGATATTGGAACACTGCTATCATGTCTCCCCTAGTCCTTCTTTTCATTAAACTAGACATACTCAATTCCAGCAACCGTTCTTCATATGTTTTAGTCTCCAGTCCCCTAATCATCTTTGTTGCTCTTCTCTGCACACTTTCTAGAGTCTCCACATCTTTTCTACATCATGGCGACCAAAACTGGATGCAGCATTCCAAGTGTGGCCTTACCAAGGCATTATAAAGTGGTATTAACACTTCACGTGATCTTGATTCTATCCCTCTGTTTATGCAGCCTAGAACTGTGTTGGCTCTTTTGGCGGCTGCTGCACATCTTACAATCTTGCACTACTTCTTTGAGGTTTTTCTATGCTCTGACTGGTGTCAGCTTTGATGGTATCCAACCATCATGTTCTTTGATGGCCTGGTTTCCTTTTATCACTAACACTTCTAAACACAACTACTTTCTCCATTGCTGTCCCCTTCCATATAACATGGCCAAAATAAGTGAGACACAATTTCGTGATTTTGTATTCTAGTGACAGATCTGCTGATATGAGCACCAGCAGTTGCTTGTTAGTCATCTTTAGTGTCCAAGGTACATTGAAGAGCTACCTCTAGCACCACAGCTCAAATGAGTCAATTTTCTTTCTATCTTGCTTTTTTAAGGTCCAACTTTCACAACCATAGGTAATAATGTGGAACACAATAGGTTTGAGGTTTGAGGTTCATTTTATTTATATGCCGCCCTATTCCCAGCGGGACTCAGGGCGGCGCACAAACCCAAGGAGGGGAAGGGAAACACAAAAACTACAATAAAAATACAGGGCATTTAAAACAAGCAACAGCCATACGATTCGAGAGGAGAAGGGAACTCATCGATCCCAGGCCTGCCGACACAGCCAGGTTTTAACGGCTTTTCGGAAGGCCTGGAGAGAGGTGAGGGTCCAAATCTCTGCGGGGAGCTCATTCCAAAGGGCTGGAGCCGCCACAGAGAAGGCCCTCCCCCGGGTAGTGGCCAGATGACATTGGCTAGTAGACGGAACCCGGAGGAGGCCTAATCTGTGTGATCTAATGGGTCTTTGAGAGAGTGGCCTAACCTACATGTGGTTGCTAGACCTTGCTTTTCCACATTCAGTTTATGTTCATCATTGTTGTAGGACCCGGTGCAATTTGATATTTAGTTGAAATAAGAACCAATGTTAAATACTAGCAATACTGTAGTAGTTGCCCTTTGGATATAATTTAAGGGATTAGCATGCAAGCCCACATGGAAATTAAAGGAATGCAATAAAGTTAGGTATAAATCAATCTTTACTGTAAGAAAGAGGATTCCTATCTTGCTTTACTCTCAATTTAATTAAATTGGGAATAATTGTGGGTATGCAGTATATTGCTGAGTGAATATTGGTGGGAATACACTGCTGAGTGTTATTCCATATAGGTGATATTCAGCCTCATAGCCCTTGATGGACTATCCTAGTAGTGTCATGTAGATGTAAAATAACTTCAGGAACACTATAGATCCTTGAGGGATACCAGAAGCTGGTTCACAGTAGCAAAGAGGCATTTCCCAGTGACATCTTTTCAGGACTGCATGTCTTGTATGATTCTAACTGAACATAATATAATTCCCAGAAAACTTCCTGAACAGGGAGTTGCTTCCTTTTTCCCAATTGATATGGGTTTGCTTACTCCTCAGTCAAAGCATTCCCCAATGGGAAGGGCATCAAAGCATATCCAGAAAGTTGAGTCTATTTTCCTGAAAGAGAATTGAAGTAATCACCGATAAAACATTATGTTATACTCAATGTGCAATATGAAATAACATTATGATTGCTTTGATGTAGAGATTTTAGCAGCACATTTTAACTTTTACTTCACTCTGTCCAGCTTGGAATTTTGAACTACCGTCCTCATTTTCATCTATGCAATATTTGAAATTCTCCAGTTATATTGTCTTGACCCACATTTGGATGACTGCCACCTTGAAAGGATGAGCACAACCTGCATTAAATCTAAAAATAGGTTTTCCCGATAGCTCTTGTATCTCAAAAGTGTTACTTCATTCTTGATCATTTTTATTTTGTTCATTCATGCAAATCTATTCCAAGTCATCCAACTCAAATTGCATGTTAGTTAAAACTAATATTTCCTTTCACAAATTTCCTTTAAAAAGGCAGGACTATATGAATTTGTGAATTGGGCTACACATATTCCTCCCTACATTTTTTCCTAATTGAGGAAAAAGAACATGAAACTCTAAATATGACAAAGACATTTCATGGTTTCTCCTTATCTTTTATTGCATAAATTATGGAGGAGATGTGGCTGATCATGTAAGACCTCTCCTATAATGCTCTATTGTATTTTCAGTAAATAAAGACCTCTGGTAGGAAAAAACCCCTCAGGTATTTTTATATCATCACAATCATTATTTGCAGCAGTAGCATAGTAATAGCTTTCAGTGAGAAAGAAGATTTCCTGCCAAATTCACAGCTATGTAAAATGCCTCATTCTTGTTTTGCAAATAATAGGCATTGTATGACCCTTACCCAAGCAAAAAAAGTTTTATTTCAAAGACAGGGATCTCTTTCCTAATTCCCTTGTTGTGCTTGAATTAATGGGGAAGATTTGCAGGTAAAATAACTGTACTTAGTTGAAAGAGATAACTATAACTTATAATGAGTATGGTTGTAATTGTACTGCAAACTTTCACTATCAACACAGTAAAAGGGTGATAGTCTTATTTAGTTTGTTTTAATCCAGTTGTGTTTTTTTGTCCCAAAGCAGTCTTTTTGCATGTATTCTTTTTGTAAAGAAAACAATTTCTTTTTCAAAGTCTATACCTAAATGTGATTTAAATTAATTACCTGATGAACAAAATGCAAGGAAGTGCCAGAAGGCTCAAGTGTACTGCCAATTATGCACAGTGTAAGAAATTTAAATCACAAATGTTGGATATTTTGCTAAGCAGACTATGAATGAGCTAATGGTAAAAGAGCTTTGAAACACAGCTTGATGTTTTCCACAGTGAGTTGTGAAATAAAGAGGTTTAAGATATTCTCACAATGAAAATTCAAACGTAATTCTGTAGCTTTGTATATGGAAATTGAATAGTTTATAATGTCAAGGTTAAATCATGTGTTATAGTAAGAGCCTGGTTGTTCTAGCAATTATGTTGTATTGTCACTGTGTAACCCACACCGATAGATAGATAGATAGATAGATAGATAGATAGATAGATAGATAGATAGATAGATAGATAGATAGATAAACAGAACCGACAGACAGATAAATGGATGGATGGATGGATGGATGGATGGATGGATGGATGGAGGGGATAGATTGATAGATAGATAGATAGACAGACAGACAGACAGACAGACAGACAGACAGACAGACAAATGGATGGATGGATGGATGGATGGAGGGGACAGATAGATAGAT